CTTGTTCTTGTGGGATAGGAGCAGTCGCCGGTGGTAGAGATAATACAGCCCTGATCTGGACTGGGGTCTCTAGGCACCGCTACCGTGACACAGATCATGGACATAGGACTGGAAGGGATCTCAAATTGAGTCCCCTGTTATGGCAGACAACCCCATCATCATTCTAATCATCATACTCATCCTTAACGCTGACCTAGGAAAAACAAACGGGGCTTGTGGCCTTTATTTGCTTCTCTCTGATGGATAAAGAGGCTCAAAAGATTTAGTTTTTAACCCAAAAGGGTTTTTTGTGTGTGCTTGTTTCTTACATTGGTGATAGCACCCACCTCAAGTCTTGTCTTTCCCGTTTTTGCGGCAAGTCTCCTCGGAGAACCAAGAGAACGGGAGCAGGAATTTTCTAAACCACTAACAGAGGGATGGGGCAGGGGGCGTGGTGTTGGATCATGAAGAACGAGGGCTTTTCTCCCCACTGTTTGTCAGGTGTTCAGGTTAAACGGAGGATAAGCAACAAACAAGCCACAAAAAGGGCCAGATCCCTCGCTGGTGTAACTCAGCGGTGCGCCATCAAAATCAAGGGAACTGCGCTGATTTCTTCCCGCCTCAACTGCTGAGGTGTCACGTCAGACCCGGCTCATTCCCCAGTCAGACAAAGGGAGAATAGTAACTAAGGTCTTGTCTACTCTAATCTCATAAAACAAACAAGGGAAAAATATCTATCAGAGAGGTTACAAACCCCAATTCCCCGCGGGCCACCGGATTGTGTTAAACGGACCCTCGCGATTAAAGCCATCTAGGCAGCTCTATACAGGCTGGTGTCTAGTTTCTTTCATGGGAGGGTCAGTCTGCTAACACTGCTCAGTGAGTTGCTTGTGAGTTGTGTATGTGCGCAGGCACTATGGGCTACAGCCTTTGACCCTCGCTTATACTGATTTACCATGCTTTATGAGTATTCCTAATACAATCAATGGGAACACTCAGACAGTATGGGTAGAGATCAGACTGGATGATCACAATGGTCCCTGCTGGCTTTTAAATCTATCCCGCAGCAACCCCCCATCCCCCTGGCATATCAGAATCCTACCTGGCCCCTTTCCTGCACAGTCCATTAACCCTGCCCCTCCTCGGCCTGGGATAGCCCCTGGGCTGCAGGTGCTGGCAGGGTAGAGGGGGTGAGGGACTCTGCTTAGATCCCCTTTAACCACAAGCGCTGCCTGCCGAGCGCAGCAGAGGAAGGAGGTTGCAGCCCTTGGCAAAGCAGCTGCTGGGAAGGTTTATAGAAATATATGGTGGGCTGGGAGCTCAGCCCTGCATGGCTTGAAGCTGGGGGAGATGGAAAGAGCCCTTGTAGGGGGATCAGGTCGGGCCCTCCGCTGAAAAACGCTGGGTGCGATCTTGTCCAAGGAGCAGTATTTCCAGGGTGCCCAAGGATGGGTCGTCTCGGGCCCAGCTGGCCCTGCAGCGGCCGGACAGGGCTGATTCCATCTGAGCTTGGGAGATGATTTAACCGGAGCCCCCAGCCTCCGGCTGCCCCCACGAGGAGCCCACCCTCACCTGGTGGGGGAAGCTGAGGGTCTCGGAGAGCTTGCTGACTTGGCCCAGCGTGCTCAGGTCCTCGTCCAGGCGGCAGATCGTCTTCTGGACGCTCTCACGGTTGGTGGACTGGGAAGCCCCTGTGTGTCAAACAGAGTGACAGGGCGCATCAGGCAGCAGCTGGGGCTGAGACGGTGGGT